GAAAATTTGGAGGGGAAAAAAAAAATTATTCACGTCCTTCAAAATGGAATTGGGGAATACTTGTTCTGGTGGAATGTTGCTTGCTTTGTTTCCTTTTTTTAAAATGAAAATTCAAGCTTCCGGTTGGCTTCAGTTGACAGATCCTGGTTATTAGACCAAAGACTATCTTTGCGTGTGCTTGAATTGCTTTGAACTTCTGTAGCAGATGTGCAAGTAATAATGATTGAAATCCAAGCAGCAGCGTTTGTTGGCGTTGTATAGATTGTAGCAGCCTCGCTATTTTGTTTGAAATTCACATTCAGCACGTGCATTTCTAACTTGCTACTGTGTTAAGGCAATGAGAATGGGAAGTGGGTCTTACCCAAAGCCTAAGAATGGAGGGGCTGTCTGCCAAGCAGAAACTGTTGTCCTCCAGACTTGGACATGAGAAGCTTTGCTAACTGAGTTAAGGGAAGCTTATTCCCATGGTGGAAGTAGCTTGGTTCTCAAAGAACGCCTGCATCTGTGTTCGTTGTCTTTGGAATTGGTGTTCTCCCAGCTTAACTTCTTATCCTATTTTCCTGTAGTTTCAAATTAGTCATGCATAAAGTCCTTGTGAACTCAAGTGTGGGAGTTAGAAACTTCTGAGACTAGATGCAGTGCTTAGACTGGAAACCTCTTTGGATGTGAGGTGGAGGTAGCTGAAAGAAAACCTCCAAACATGAACTGGAAAGCCATGTGGGATGATAACTCTTACTGCTAGCTTTACAGTAGCATCACAAAAGTCAGCTGGCGTGGATGCAAAGTCCAACTGTAATGGATAGACCTTCAAAACACTTACACCTCAGCCTAAAAATTTCTTCCTGTGAATGAACATTAGAACCACGATGTTACAAATAACAGGACTCTCCAAGTAGGCATTCTTATCCAGACTATGCTGGTAATCGCAAATCAGTACTTATTTCGGTCATATAGTAATCCCTAGTGCTTGCTACAGCAGTGATGTTTCTTGAGGATGGATATGGAGAGGAAAGTACTATCGGTCAATTGAAATCTGTAAGTGCAGCTTTTGATTGCTAGAGGCCGAGGTTTTGACATGGAAGGCCAGGTGGCTTCGTCCATTTCTTGTTGGCATATATGTGCCTCGGAGCACAGGCCAGGAGAGCGAGACCTGGGTTCCAGTTGTGCCTCTACCAATGGTTTACTCCATGTCAGAGGGCAAATCACTTTGCCATGGATTCAGTGAAACAATTAAACATGCTCTGTGTGCTGCTTTGACGTGGGACAGATATTTAAACTGACATCAGCTTTCCTGTACTATAGCTTCTCTTTTTTCCCCCTGAAAAACATGAAGTGTTGATGCTTTTGGATATTTAGGTGATGCTTGAAATATGTTGTCAATTATACCTTGAGGCTAGCGGTCTCCTAATAGGTCACTTGAATGGCTGGCTTTCAAGATCAAGATGTCTGGGTGGACCTGTTATAGGTAGATCTGTTCTTTTCAAAATAGCTGCCTGCATTGTGCCTGGTCCTACAGCTACACATTTGCTAGGATGGAATTGTTCCTCCCCAGCCCCATTTGAAGGACTGCGCACAACTGCACTGTAATGTAACAACCTCCAGCCTCTTAGGTGAGGCTTTAGTACTTTTAAGTAAGTGTGGGTCTCTTTATGTGATAGAAGCCTGTTCTTAATATTAAAAGGTGATCTATAAATCAGTATCCTGATTTATGCAGTCAGAGTGCTTTCAGAACATGTATCTGGAATTTTCCCGATGGTTGTCTGTTAATTCTCTCTTTACCAGAGAAAGATGATTTGAACCTGATTTCAGCCCCAAATTCTGAACCTCTTGTGGCTCTTAAGTGGGTGTGGAACATAAAACTATACATATTGGAGAAACGTGGTTCTTTTTCCTTTTACTGACAAGATCTTGCTTTCTGAGTCATTCCCTCCATCACCTAATAGTCTGCTCATTGCCTGAGGTCTCTGGTTTTCTATAGTTTGCTATGGACTGTGTGAGGATGTCAAGCAAACAAACTGGAATTTGTGTCACGCTGAGTCCTCTGCACTAATTCCCCTTTGAAGTGCCCTACCCAGGTAACCAAGGGGTCAGAAGGTCTTAAGCTCATCACCAAACCCTTGAACTATCCGGTGTTTGTTTCCTGGACTCTGCAGCCATATGATCTTCATCTGACTTGTGGGGTTCAGTGCTGTAACTTCGCAGTGCAATTAACAGTGAAGCCAATGGTAGTGTAAGGACCTAGCAACACTGGAATGGCTTTGAAATACCAGACGTGACTGTAGTTACTGCAGTAAATTGTATTCGTTTAGGAAATCTCCTACTGTCTTGCCTTTCCAGCTGCTTGTGTGAATCATTT